TTATATAAAAACAAATATTTTTATATTATAAGTATGTTTCAAAGATATCAATTGAAAATAGTTTTTACATTTTATCCATAACTCTTCTATTATCTATGATTTAATCTAACTAGTTATTTTCTAATTTTTGTGGATAAAGTCGATTATTTCCACATTTACAACTTGCTTCAATGCAAAATGCTACTTATAACTAGTTTTATTAATTAACATAAAAGTTAAGATTAAAAATTTGAAAAAAAACATTTAAAAATTTGAATTTGGCGCTATTTCAGAGTTTGTCAAATCTCATAGATGTCTGTTTCAGCCAATTTGTTCATAATGGCATATAGCTATTATTCAAATAGCTAATTTGTTTATATATTTACAACTTGCCTCAAGGCAAAATGCTACTTACAACTAATTTTATTAACTAATTTAAAAGTTAAGATTACAAATTTGAAATAAAACATTCAAAATTTTGAATTTGGCGCTATTTCAAAGTTTGACAAATCTCATAGATGTCTCTTTCAGCCATTTTGTTTATAATGACATGCAAATTAGACTGAAAGTTAGACTTTTAGGTTAGAATTGATTTGTGACTGAATAAACTTAAACAAATGTGATAAATTACATTAAAATAATAATAAAATGATATTAATAATATTATTAAATAATATTTAGTCATTTAATACAAGTTTGCGAACGTACTTTCATATTTAGTCTTATTCTGTCAAAATTTTGAGGTTAGGAGTGATTTGTTATTAAAACTTAAATAAATATTAATATTAAATTACAAAGACTGTTCAAACGTTAATACAATGTAAACATTGACATTCCTAAATGATATTTTGTAATTTTATAACATTTTCATAATATAAATAGTGTTATATGTATTTTGGAGCAAAATGTCTCAAGAGACACAGATAAATTCTATTATTAATAATATACTAGTAAGTTTAGTAAATATATAATTAAATTGTATATATATATATATATATATATAATAAATATATATATATATACAATAAATATTTTTATATATAAATATTTATATCTATAAGCCATTCTTGTTGGACTAAAGATTTCTTAGTCGTTCAAGAATAACAACAGTAAATTGTTGTAAAAAATGTTAGAATCCAAACAAATCATTTATTCTAAACTGTTTTCTAATTAGTTCTTGCTCTCAGTCCTTTTATTACTCTGTTAATTTATTTGCGGTGCTTTTTCTACTATTACACAATATTTTTTATATTAAAGATTGTAATCGTAAAATTGTAGGAATATAAAAAGGCTTTAAAATTACAAAATTTGAGGCCTGTCCTGTTGTTACGGTGGTAAAAGTTATTCATGGATTTATCATCAATTCTTTTGCAATGAAAAAATATTAGTTTAACGAGACTTTTATCATTATTCAATGTTTGTATCATTTTTGTCTTTATAATAATATTTTACATTTTAATTTATATATCTGGTAAATTACTCATCATTTTACATTGTCCTCCTGCTTTTACTATTTCAATTACTTTTTAGTTATTTTATTTTTATTATTATACAATAATTTTCTAACCTAACCTAACAGGACAACAAGAAAACTTGTAGGATTAAAAATAGGCTTTAAAAATGCAAGAATTTTTCATTGATTTATCATAAATTTTTTTGAAATGATAGTTTTTATTATATATATTATGTTCACTAATCAATTAATTCACTACCATATGTAGATTTATTTATTTATTTGTTTATATAAATATTTCTTTATTAAATGATTGTTTTCTCCTCCAGAAGGTTGATGGGATAGAAGAATCCTTCTCCTGTTTTCTATCCCACAAAAATGATGCAGAAAATGAATCAATGGCTCAATACCAATCTCAATTGGGCACAATTTTTTCATCGTTGTCTCAAGAAAATTTAGAAGCTGCTATCAAATATTATTTAAAACAAACAGCAACTTTAACTAACCACAGCAAGTTGAAGTGTTTGTTGGGACTCCTTGAAAAATTAGTTGGGAGCAATGTCTTACCACCAAGGTAATAAATAATCAATTATAAATAATATATATATATATATATATATATATATATGTATTTTTTTTCCAGGGTGGTTTGTGAGAGCATCCTGGCTTGTGAGAAACTGGTTTACCAAAACCAGGAATTCTGGATTGAATGTTTTAATTTGATGCGCAGAATAATTGGAGGTGTTGACTATAAAGGAGTTAGAGAGATCATGAAGGTACCAATATTTAGATTTTATTATTTATTGACTCATTTGACTAAGTTATGAAGGTATTTTCTTTTCCTCAGGGTTGCAGAGAAAAGGCCCAGACACTGCCCCAAGTCTTGAATTCCAGCTCCGTACCACAACTGAGAGCCTTGGAAAATGTGATTGAATACATCTTTGATAGAAATGCTTGTTTGCTCCCTGGTTACTTCATAGTGACTGAAATACAAAAGGCTTATCCTGATAACAAAAATTGGCCACATTGGGTAAGTATCACCTCATCAATCAGCAAGGTTGCCAATAATTGTTTAAATAAATATTTTGCATTATAAATGTTTCAATTAGAAATTAGCCAATCTCTTCTCATCCTTTGTGGAAAGTTTTCGAGCTACTGCCCAAATGGTGTCAGTTATTGGACATTCTCATATGTTACCAGTTGTAGAACATACTGGTTATGCTGATCATCTTATAAATCCCTGGAAATTGGACAGCACCACTTTGAAGTTTTCTTTAAAAGGTAAAAAAAAGGTATAAGGTGGATTTATAAAGGAATATTTATATTTGTTTGTTTGCTTGCAGGAAATTTGCCATATGATGCTGATTTGTTGAAGCCACAAACAGAATTGCTGAGATATGTTTTGGAACAACCGTACTCCAGAGATATGGTTTGCTCGATACTGGGACTCCAAAAACAAGTATGTTGCATAGTCAGATAAACAAAAATAGCATGTTACAACTGATGAGTCTCTTACTTTAGCATAAACAAAGATGTATAGCCCTGGAGGAGCAACTGGTAGCCTTAGTGGTTTTAGCAATGGAGCGTTCTGAGCAAGACACTTCTGATACCATCTCATCCCAAGTAGTTCTTCTCAATCTGCTTCTGCATCTGGTGGAACTCCAGGATCTACCAGTGGAACTACGCTTCTGGTGCAAGTCAATCTGATGACAATACTTGCACCAGCTCCCAGACTCATTGGTTGTGGTTGCATTTGTCTTCTCAGTTGATTTATTTTTGTGCTGTTTCAGTTTGCCAACTTTTCAAGTGTTGTTACTGCTTTATATGACAAGGTAATAAAGGAATGTGATAAAAAAAATGAGATGAGGCTTCAATAATATTATTTTTAGTTGTC